CGACGACGACGACGACGTACTACTACGTACTACTCCTACTACTCCATTGTGATGGCGGTTACACATATATAGTTATCAAGAGTTTATTAAGGTATGCATTGCCTTTTTATGGGGGACTGGGCTCCCTGCACCGCTGCTCGAGGTAACCGTTCGGGATGTTCCGCTGGTAGTCTTGATGCACTCTTCCACGCAGGCGTGTTTAGGGGTTTAGGCTTGAGGGTCGAATCAAAGAGAGGTTGAATATGTTGGATTCATGGTTTGGGTTTGGGCTTTTCCGTTTCGGAATTGCAGAGAATAATGGAGCCTTGCATGGACTCGAATAGTAGGGGTCTTTTATTAGCAGGACCTCGAAGCAAGTTACCTTTGCAGTCTGGCTATAAGTGAATTGCACTTACGCCTACCAGCGATCCTTTGCAAACACCCCATGACACACTTGCAGAATGCTGATTACACATTTGTGCTGCAACCCTCTTCGATTCAAGCTCTCATTACCCACCTGCCAAGCCCCCTCGCCATCTAAGTTTTACCTACCAACTAAAGACCCTGAAAATCCCTGAAACCCTTACTCGCAAGCCTTTTACGGGCTTTACTTGTTGAGGATTGACTTCAGGGGTTCGAGAGGGACATCTACAGGGCCGTTGATGGCCCTTAGAGGTACAGGTCCAGGAGGGCGCTAGATAAGGGCATTAGGAGTGCAGATTGTTAATGAGGCTTGTGGAACAGGTCTGCGACACCTTCATGTGTGGTTCGCCGTCTGCACCGTTTGGTGCAGGCGGCTCATCCCGCTTGCAGAGAGTTAAGGTCCTTTGCCCTGGGTGACGGATCGCAGATAAGGAGCATGCTGAAATTCAGCATGTTGTGACAATGCTGAACAATCAAAAGCGCCAGCCTTAGACGCGAAGCTCTGTAGAGGCCCTTACGAGTCATCGTTCTCACGAGGAACACAAGCCTACACAGGCGTTGTCAAACGCAAGGATCCCTGCCCCGAGAAAGGGTTTGTGGGCCCGAGGTTTGCCGTGGCCGGCTTTCAAACTTGATGAGTACTTTTGCGGTCGATATCCACTTGTTTGCCTGTATGCTGTCGAACTTATAAGTAGAGTAGGAGGTAACCTTTAAACTTTTTCGGTGCAGTTTATAACCCCGATATAATCCCAAAGTTAAGCTTTAGGTTTCTGATACTGGACAAGTAGGCCCTAAACCCCTAAACCCTAAACCCCATCCCTAAGCCCTAAGCCCTATAAGCCCTAAAGGTACATACCGAGTCTTCCTTCTCACAAACAGACGAAGCCCAGCCTTCACCCAATTCCCCTGAGATGTCGGGAAAACCCCTGCAGGCTTCTCGCCAAATCGAAACCCCTAAACTCTAAACCCTTAAACTTAGTAGCTGAATTACTACGCTTTAAACTTTTTGGGAAATATGAGCCCTTATAAAACTGAAAGTTCACTGAAAGTGCACACTTTTTTTGCTTATGAACTCGGCAACTAAGTAAACCCTGAAACCCTTAACCCCTAAACCCTAAACCCTAAACCTTTAAACCCTTAACCCTAAACCCTAAACCCTAAACCCTTCAACCCTTCAACCCTTACCCTTCAACCCTTAAGCCCTTAAGCCCTAAACCCTAAGCCGCAGGCGGATGGCTTCGAACCAGCTGACCTATTCACGGCATGAGCCCGTGTCAGCAAAAAACGCCCACCCATGCTGCACCAGCTCCAAACACTCATCAGGTTTAAAGTTAAGGACTTTACGGTTTAGAGTTTAGGGTTTAGTGTTGACGATGGCAAAGTAGTTTTACCCTAAACCCTAAACCGTTTTGGATGTGGCCAAATACAGCGAAGCCTTTATCCAACAACGTAAAGCCACCCGAGTCAGGACCCGATTGGTTTAGGGAACTCAGGTGGGTAGTTTTCTAAATTAGGGTCCCCAAAGGGGGTCCTTTTTACAAGAGTGCCGTACTATATTGGGGACCTAAAACGACCCTAATTTAGGTGTCAACCTCGACGGTTTAGGGTTCAGGGTTTAGGTTTCAGGGTTAGGGTTTAGGGTTCAGGGCTTAGGTTTAAGGGTTAGGGTTCAGGGGTCAGGTCTATATAATGGTTAGGGTTCAGGGTTCAGGGTTTAGGTTTGAGGGTTAGGGTTTAGGGTTTAGGTTTGAGGGTTAGGGTTCAGGGTTCGGGGTTTAGGTTTGAGGGTTAGGGTTCAGGGTTTAGGTTTGAGGGTTAGGGTTCAGGGTTCGGGGTTTTGGTTTGAGGGCTGGGGTTTAGGGTTCGGGGTTTAGGTTTAAGGGTTAGCCCTAACCGGGCCCTAAGCCTAAATCTTCAACTCCAATCCTTAAAGCCTAAACCATCCCTAAAACCCTAAGCCCTAAACCCTAAACCACACTTTAAAAAAAAAAGAAACAACAAAACATCCCCAAGCCGTAAGCCCCATAGGCCCCAGCCACTAAACCTACGGGTGGAGCCTTACCTTCCTTACCTTTAGTTTAGGGTTTTTCTTTTGGGGTTTCGGGTTCAGGGTTGAGGGTTTAGGGTTTAGGGTTTGCCAAGCCCGAGCCTAAACTGGAGTAGGGTTTGGGGTTTAGTGGCTGGGGCTCCACCTTAATCCTAGCTGCGGAGAAAGTCTTTAGGGCTTGGGGTTAAGTAAACCTTCAACCTTCTGTTTGGGTTTTAGGATTTCATTGGAGGCGGGCAGTGCAAACCCGAAAGTTGACCTTTACTTCCCTGGCATGCTGCACAAGTAATGATTGCCAGAAGCACC